ATTGCTTTAGTGTAATCCTCATACTAACTAAACCTTTTCAAATTAATAACACTCAGAGATACCTCTAATATTAGGAGAACCAAAAAAATTTTAATGTACCTTCCAAATGCCAAATCTATCATTTTACTCTTTTCCACATTTGTACTCTAAATAAATGGCACTTACCTACAGAGTAAGAGGTAAAAACATGCTATTTTACAAATATATTTAAGAAATTTCTACCTTTTAGGGCAAGAAGAATATATGTAAATAAAAAGGAATTTGAAGGATTCATGATTTGAATATAAATATGAGCAAAAAGGTTGCCTTTCAGACATATCCAAACTCCTACCACTGCACCTAAAATTACGTTGGACCATCTAGGCATAGACCAACTTGTTTTTATTTGATATCTATCCACACAAATGTATTTTGCAAATAAACCCAAATTAATAAAATTATAACCATGCTTCTTAATACAAACATTTAACCAATGTATATTGAATAAATACAGATACACTTTATACATGCCAACAGAAAGGAAATTCTTTAACATATTGATCTACAGTGTACGACGTCTAAAAGCAGTTAGGTATGCTGTCTTACTCTAGGCTTTATTGTAGATTTGTAACAGCTCAAAAAATATCGTCTTTAATGTACTACTTTTTAATTTTAAATTAATATGAGGGTACAAATTTTTAGATTATAATGTTCTCACTTCCAAGTAAAGTCAATGTACTATTTTTAATATACAGATAATGCAGATTTTTCAATGTTATTTAACATTTTTATGCACATAAAAGGAGGAGGAAATAGCAAAAATGTATTATACGGTTTAAATGAGTCTTATTGGGAGATGGAAGGGCAATTAGCTGAACAGTGATTCTGCTTTTATTCTCCTCTGTTGTACTTACAAATATGGAGGGCTGAAATTCAGTCCAATAGAGGCAGCACTTAAAAATCCTAAGAATGATGCCCTGAGTTCTAGGGCTTGAATAAAAACTCAGTGATACTTACCATACTGCGTAACGAATGCGATACAGCTGTTCACGATGATGGGCACGTCGTTTTTGCTGAGCTGCTGATCCTGTAAAGCATTCCCATCTGTGCCTGCTGCTTTCTCAATCGCAGTATGCCAGACTGTGAAATCCAACTTGGTATGGCCATGGATGTATAGTGTTCTATAAAATTTAAAAAAGCATTTCAAGTTACTATTCTGCTTTTCAAAAACTCTTCCTTCAGGACAGTCTACCCCCAAATCCACACAAATGTGAGTCTATCTCACCCACTGTAAGAAAAACTGTCCTCTACCCAACGACCACTAGTTTCTGCTCAAATCTCCTCCTCCCAGTCACGTCTCCCCACAGAACACAGGAAGCTTCCTGAGTTTACCGCCTCACTTTTCACATTCTCCAATTCTTTTTATTCTTT